CGGGCACTTGACACCATGCATGCCTCGGCCTCCCCTTTTGCCGCCAAAGCCTTTTTTCGTGCACTGCGATGCCTCAGGCCTGCCGGCAAAAGTGTTCTCAAACCCTTTGGCAGGCTGCAAATCACCCCCTTCGTGGAGGGCGAGGAGTCTCTTGCGGTCCGACAGCAACGCCATTTTAGCGGCTGACTATGTTGCTTTCGACTCACAGGTTGCCCATGCGAGGCCAGCGGCATCATTTGACCCTGCCCTCCTCCCCACTCTGTTGCAACTCGAGGGTCTTTTTCGTGGCGCAAAGCAGGGCAAGGCTCCGGGACCCAGTGGAATTCCTGAATGGCTATGGGCGTTGGACAGCCGTGCTGCTACACGGGCCTTTTTGCCTATTTTCCTCAAGTCCCATTTTCGGCTGACCGAGCCGGTGCAGTTTAAGTCTACCGCCCTAATTGCGCTTTTCAAAGGCAAGGGCTCTCCCGCTGTTCTGGCCAACCATCGAGCGATTGCACTGCTGGATGGGCCAGGTAAAGCCCTTCGCCGATCGCTACGACGACCAGCAACAGGGTGGCGCTCCTGGCTCCCTGCTTGCGGGAGCGCACCACTTGGTAAGGGCCCAACAACAATTTGCCCTTGGTCTCAGAGCCCCATCTGCTGCCCTGTTTCTGGACGTCTCATCTGTGTATTACCGAGTGCTGAGACAGGCCTTCGGCAAAGGGCCCTCTCGAGAACGATGAGGACGTAGCCCAGCTTTTGGCGCTCCTACAGGTTCCGCCTTCTGCGCTACAAGAAGTTTGTGAGTGGCTCTCGCACTCCGACCTCCTTGACGGGGCCCCAGCGCATTGCACGGCACTCGTCCGCGCTTTCCTCTGTGGAACTTTCTTTCAGATCCGAGGAGCGCCGGGAATAGTGCGCACTAGAGCGGGGTCTAGACCGGGGGACCCTGTGGCCGACCTGCTTTTCTCACTTGTGCAGGCAGACTTTCTCCAGTCAGTGCGGGCACAAATTGCCGACCTTGCTGCCACCGATCTCGTGCTCAGTCGGGTTGTAGATGTCACAAACCCTGCCCCCAAGGTGGGTGTACACCCGAACACAGTGCACCTGGAAGTCCTCCCCTCTGGCTTCGAAGGGCAGCAAGCCGGCCCGGCGAATGTAAAGCTCCTGACGAGCTGCAGGGGCGCCCGCCCCGCGAAAGGAGAACAGGGCTTCGGATTTGCCAGGGGCATAATTAGGTGCCTTGGCCCGCCGCGTATATTCGCAGTGCACTGTAGAAAGGGTATGCCGGGCCGCGTCAAGCAATTGCTGAGTAGTGGGTTGAGCAAGCAACACAGCAGCATCGTCTGCCCAGACGGGCACGACGCTCGAGGGGCCAGCGGTCGCTTTTTGCGGGACATTGCCCAGCATCACTCCTATGCCTGGGCGCAGGTCAGGCCGCTTGCTCGGCAAGTACTTCGCAGCCCCACTCTCCCTTTTCCCAAAAGGCGGCTGATTCTAAATTCGCTCGCATTTTCTGCTGCCTCTTGTACGGCCGCTACATGGGGCCCTTTGAATGCACAAGAATCCCACGCGTGGCGAACAGGGTATGTTAGACTTGTGCGCCTTCTAGGTCGGGATGACAGGCACACGGGGCAGCCCTCCCTACCAGCTGAGAGTGATGTATGCCGCGCTTTCAAGTTTGCTTCCCCGCTTGCTCATCTTAAGGCAGAACGCATTTTGCATGCATCGCGCCTGTTGCTCACGCAGAGCACTCTTTGGGGCCTTCTATGTGCTGCGCATCAGTGCCTTCCTGACTCCTGGTTGCATCTCTTGCACAGTGACCTTCTTTGGTTGGCATCTGTATGCCCAGAATCTAGGCACCTGCTAAGCGACTTTCCTGATGGGTTCGCTGAGCACGCACTGCACGCCCCGTGTACCATCCGCACTTTTGTGCGGAAAGCCAGGCTTTCAGTCCGGGCTCCTGAGCATGAACCACTGTGGGGATCCCCCAATGGTAGACAGGGTGCCCCACGTGCGGAAGCGCACCAGTGCGAGCACTGCCCTGCCTCCTTTGCCTCTGTGCAGCAGCTTTCCGCTCACAAGTTTGCAAGGCATGGTATACGTTGTGCTGCTGCGCAATACGCACAGCATACCACTGTATGCAAATCGTGCATGATGCAATTTTGGGAGCCGCCGAGGCTCCTAAGACACCTTCAGCACGATTCGCCTCAATGTTTGGCTGCGCAGGAAGAACACCTTCTTCTCGAAGATGACTTAGGAATTTGGGGTGTTCCCGACCCGCCCCCTGCCGTAGGTCTACCTGCAACTAGACTTTACGGGGCCCTGCTGCTGCCTCTTAGGAGCTGTCGTGTTGCAGATTTTGTTGCCTCCCTCGAAACTGGGGCCAAGCCCGCTTTCCGGGGAGGGTGGCTTCCGCCCGCGTGTCGCCTTTGGCTGGATGCCAAGGACAGCGGGTGATTCTGTATAGTTTATTTCGTTCATTGTTTCCGCCTTGCTCATAGTACCAGGCGTCTGTGACAGACTCGGACCGAAGCTAAGCAAGCAAGCAAGCAAGCAAGCCCTAAACCTTAAACCCTAAACCCCGAAACTGCGTGGTTAGTCCGCAACCAAGGATAACCTGGGGGTGGTCGTTGGTCGTTGTGACAACGAGCATACCATGAGATTTCAGGTGGGAGTTGATCAACATGATCCCGACTTGGAGGGTTTAGGGTTTAGGGCTTACGGTTTAGGGTTTCGGGAAGTAGGGTTTTAGGTTTAGGGAATTAAGGTTTAGGGTTTAGGGTTTCAGGGTTTAGGGTTGGAGGGTCAGGGTGTAGGGTTTAGGGTTTGGGGTGTGGGGTAGGCGTTGGGGGGTAGTGGGACTTAGTAAGAAGGTCATTAATGGGCCAGAGAATGGGACAGCTGGAGTTTTCATGTGGCCTAGAGGGTTACGGTTTCTAGTTGAACCTGCTAAGTACACTCACCCTCCATACTCCTGTTGTAGTCCCTATATATCCCTAAACCTTAAACCTTAAACCTTGAACCCTAGACCCTAAACCTTAATCCCCAAACCTTAAGCCCTGACCTACAACCCCTAGACCCTCAAGCCTAAACCCTAACCCCTGCCTTCCCACGGAGCCCTTATTTTGCTACATTCCCAGGTGAAGGACCCGTCCCTCAAAGAAGCAGCAGACGCCATCCTCTCCGACCGCGAGCTGGCAAAAGCAAAGCTCACAGAAGGTCAGCTAGCAATGAGGTTTTGCCCCCCCCACCCAAGGGTTTAGGTCATATTGGGGTTATGTTGGATAATGGAAAAGAAAATGGAAGCTACAATTTAGGGTTTAGGGTTATATTGGGGTTATATTGGGATAATGGAAAGAAAATGGAACTTACTATTTAGGGTGTAGGGTTTAG